CTGTTCAGTGCAAATAGTAACCCCTATGTAGTTTTACAATGACTTGACCAGATAAGGGTGAAAACACTGTGATGTCATGCTCAAATGGTGAATTTTTGCTTCTCAGTTGTTCAAAAAGAATGGGTGCGACTTCTATTAGAAATGTGACTTCTAATACACATTTTACGGTACATGGAGAATAACAAATCATGGGACGGTACATTATAATAATTTTAGACTGTATAACTCATAATTATGCAGAATGAAATTTAGTTTTGAAACGATATTGATACAAGAGTGATAATAATTTTGCGGATTGTCAAAAACTTTCACAGGTTGTAACTTTAAATGCAAATCCATTGACATGCTAAGATGTGTAATTAGCATCCACTAGTGTAGCAATCAGAGAAGGTCATGTGATACCGATATTACCTATTCGTATAATTGGTTGATTCTTGTAGCGCGAGACAGAATGATATCGGATGATAACCTCACATGAGAAATAATATTCCTTTGGGAAACAGGGGAACTTTGTTTTGAAAAATTACACTCAGACATCATTCATATAGCTGTGACAGTTGTGTGAAATATTTGATTGTTTGAATTTTCATGAATTATTTGATGCAATAAACATTCAAATTTCAATGATTTTCAGTGTGCCCATTTGCAATCATTTCAGCTTCCATTTGCTAACAATTTTGATAACAGAGTTTTGCTTCTATTTCAAAATACTGAGGACTGCAGTACTGTAAAATACTTCAGCTAGAATTAATTTTCACTGAAAAGACTTTTTGGGTGTTTAGTATAGAATTTATTTTCACTGATTTTTGATGAGATGAATGTAAAATATAGGAAAACAATGTTTATTTGCTGGATTTTATTTCCACTGAATCATCCCTTCATTGAAAATAGCGAAAATAAATTTCCAGCAGAAATACCATATTTTACAATAATATGGAATAATAGCAAATACATGCAAGTAAATCATTAATTATTCTCTGAAATTCGTCATATTCAGACCATCAGATATAATCACACAGTAGTCCCAACAATTCCATTAAATAATTGAAACTAAAACCAAATGAAACTTTTTGGTCAAGAGTTCAATTGCTCTTTAAAAAATGAAGAAAAAAGTTCTTAAACCAGAAATTTTAATTTCATATGTAATTTCAATTAAATTGCAACACAAATAAACTTTTTATTATGTGCTAAAGCCCAGTTGTCTGTTAACTAAGTTTGAATAGACTGTGTGAATTAAAAATACAAGCAGAATTGTACAATTTTTCACACAAATCAACTTTCATTGATGTGCTGGAACACAATTATCTGTGAATCAATTTTAGATCTTATTGAACAGCTTGATATTTATAAGCAAAATTGTGCAAACAAAAAAAATTATGAAAAAAGCCGATTATTAAACATGTCTTAGTAGTAATTTGCATCAAACAAAATGGCTGTCAGTTGGCCATCAATTGGATTGCAACACAGATCAACTTTTTATTATGAGCTCAAACCCAGTTGTCTGTTTACCAAGTCTGAACATAAGTAGACTGTGTGAATTTGAAATAGAAACAGAATTGTACAAACAAATTTTTCAAACAAAATGCCTGCAGAGCGACAATTTTAGATTGGATTGTGACACATTATCGATGAGCAAAAACACAATTGTCTGTGAACCAAGTTTAGACCTTATTAGATAACTTGATATAAGCAGAATTTGTCAAACCAAATGGCTACCAAGTCATCCATATTGAACTGGATCTTTGTGAAATAATACATGTACCATGTATTTGAGTGATTGCATTTTCAAGTTATATTACCAAAGTTGACCAACAGGTGTTAACCATACTCTATGTTTGAACAGAATCGCCCAGCACAACTTGAGATAATGCTCTACTTGCATAAAATGTAGATTTTTTTCAAATATGGCCGTCAGCTGACCATTTTAAATCTCATCAAAAAAAAGAGTGGAAAATACATTTTATGTTATACCACCATATATATATCAAATATGTACTATGTGATAGATGAAGCGAGAACAGAACAATGGAAGATTTACTTATATACATACATGTACAAAATATACGACTTTTTACAAAAGATTTGTTAGTGTAATATTAACCACTAAATACTGTATGTACAACATACGCGATGAAGCATACAGCATAATCATTAAAACTATCCCATCTGTATTGAATTGGAATTTACAAAAAAACACCTGGGGATACCGGTAGCTCACAACATTTAACATGAATGGTATAAAATCAATTACTTGTCTGATAAAACAATTCATACATCGAAAGCTTTCCATTCTTTAAAAATATTAGTTGTTTTCAAGATATTTAAAATCATGTTAAAATAAATTATGATGAAAGAAATCTGTTTTATTATTATTAAATATTATTTCATAAATATGGTGTTATAGTTCTGATAATTAATTAACAAAAAAATAATAAAAGCAAATAAATAAATAGTAAATAAATATAACTATACTAATAAATAAAAAATGTCAAATGGGGCGTTGTCAGGCTACTTTATGGTGAATCAAAGTACAAGGTGACCACATGATTTTACCTTGAGTCAATGTGTACAACATTTCCTACCTGTGAAATTCTCCTTTGAAGCTCTCTCACTTTGTGACAACAGTCATCATAACTCTCTGACAATGACCGATGCACCACCATAACCAGATAAAAAATGATTTACATCCAAATATATACAGAGACAAATTTCCTTGATACGTTGTTGTGCAAGATTTGTTAAGTTAATGACACTCTAAGAAATTACAGTCTGCTAGACGGGATGAGTCACCGAGACTTGCTATAAATACTCCTAACAACATTTACTACATGACTCAGTGTCTGCGTCTTTCCTTGAATATTTATCAAGTCATGTACTTGCTCATATATTCTTTGAGCACCAAAGTCCAAAAACTTTTGTCGTCTTTTACAAAGTATAGCCTCATAATAATTTTCTTTGCTTTTATTTTCAAATTTTATTATCAAAATCTGTTGCCAATGGAATATTATATCAAATTGGTCCAAATTATCAAAAAAACTGATAACTATATACAAAATTGCCATGGATCTTCACAAAAAATGTAGGCGCAACCTTTTGTCCAATTTTATGAATTTTCATAATCATTACAACCAAATGAACACTAATCATTTTGTGAAAGATACGACAACATTTGATGTTAAAAGGTGGAGTCTATGATTTGTAGATAGCATGGAGGCAGTGAAGTCAGTTTATCACTGATCAGGAAGTCAACATGTATTTATTATTTTATCACGTTATGTGGTTGTGATATGAAATGATATAATAATATGGTGGAATTCCCTGGCCAGCATGTGACAATTAGTGAGAGATGAGATTACACACAAATTATACGAGGTGTTGACCCTCCTTGGAGGGATTAGAGTTTAATATAGGTCATTTATTAATGCTGCACTTGTACTGTCCACATTAATTCTCCAACACTGTAAATCAAATTTCCATTGTTTGTATTTTTTGCATAATTCAACTCATTTGAGAGAAGGCCTCCGAAAAATCTAGATTTCCTGATTGTCAGACTCCTCATCTTTAGTGTAATTCACAAATGAAGACACACTATAATTTAATGCATTAATTATTCAGGAAGACATTTGAATCAGACAAACACGTACATTTGCTTTATTCCATTACACTCTAACACTACTTTCTTCTTTTTTTTTTTTAGGATTAATTATCACAACTAATCTTTACTGCTATTAACTGATAGGGAGATTGTATTTCTAAGAATGCAATAAAATTACCAGTAATAATATTACATAAACAAAATCTAAGACAGATGAATTATAACATATCGAATGGGTTCACTGAAATAATTTAACAAGGGCTTTGTTCAGGCAATATACTTGGGATTGTTGACAAACAAATGAAAAATAAATACAGCAAAGT